CCACGGTCACATAATATTAGGGTAGCCGCACGGCGTATTTTGAATTTGTGGAGACATAAAATCTGCGACTGCCGTACGGCCTTTGAAGTGATGACGCACGGTCGCCTTAGGGCGTCCCTGCGGCCGTAGATTTTTTGACAAATACCAAGGCAGACGGAAGGTAGCCGCAAGGTGCCCGCAAGGCGGCCGAAGGGGGACCGTACGGCGACCGTGCGGCCATACTGATACTACCGCTTCACCCCTGGAGTATATAAAACGCAAGGCTACCGTACGCTCGACGCATGATCGCCGTGGAATAGCTCTACGGCATGGCTACAGCGTGTCTAATCGCTACAGCGAACCTCGAAATGGAAACAGTTTTAACTCCGCGTTATAATCCCATGGCGACCCGTACGGCCTGTAAAGATAGGGATACACCCTAGGGTGACCGCAAGTATCTCTCGATTTCGGGGGCGTACGGCCGCCGTATCCTTGCCGTAAAGCAAATGTGACCTAGGCATTACGGTCTTATTACGGGTAGCTGACGGTATAAAAATAAGCGCGATAATGGGGCTTTCACATATACACTCCTGGGCCCGCACTGCGAGTAAAAGCAGACATTTTGGGAATTTTCGGCCGGTTTCCGGCCGTCTCCCGTAAAATTCCTATGGGTGCCGGGACATTTTTCACCAGCCGTACGGGCGCCGTGGTAATGAGATGGCTGCTCCCAATTCTCCCGGCGTTTTCCTCTGCTGTTAGGCCGTAGAAAGCCCGTAAAGGGCCCGTGAAGACACCTGCCGGGCCCGGAAGCCATGGGGTACACCTGGGGGCGTTTCATGAAACAATTAGTAGGTGGTTTTCACCGACTAATATCATGTTCACCGACAATTCTTTTGTCACCGACTATTTTCCAGGCCTGTGATTGGTCAAATTTAGTCAGCGTTGACTAAATTGTTGGTGAACATGATATTAGTCGGTGAAAACCACCGACTAATTGTTTTATGAAATGCCCCCCTGTTCATCGGAAGGAGCCCGTGGGCTTAGCGGCCGGCAGCCGGCGGCCAACGTACGGGCGCCTCGCATTTCAACGCGACTAATTTTCACCGGGCACCACCTGGACGCCGCAGAATATGTGACCACAGATGCCGTAGAAATGAAAATCGGAAGGGTCCCGTACGGTTTCTAAAATCCACGGCAAGCCACCGGGTAGGGAAAATCGTACAGGGCCCTGCGTATATGTGACCTAGGCAAAGATGAAATCCACCTTGATGAAATTTGTGATGAAATCAGAATAATTATAAAAACTGTTCAGTAAAGATAGATAAGATAAATTTAAAAATAATTTGAATCCCTATCATTGATCGAAAGACGAAGAGATCGCGAGTCAAATTGATTTTCCTTAAAGAATTCCACCCCTTTTGTCATAACATTTCAATATTTTTATCCCCCAGATAAATATTGTCATAGTTTTACCCAAAATACATCATTGTAAATGAAACAGCAAAGAACAAAACAAACAACACGTGTAACAACAAAAAGATAACAAGGTCCTGGAATAATGTGTACAATTTATTATCCCCATTTTTCAACTGTTGGAAATGCCAGGACCTTTTACGATTGAAAGGCTCGTTCGTATATCTGTTTACTTCCCACACTGATTGTTCGTTTGTGGTTCTGTGTCACTTCATGTGATGAAGCTTTGAGCTGAAAGAGCGACACCATCGTTCTGATTGACGAACGAGTAGACAATTTGGACAAGATGCCAGAGGGAAGGGTGAGGAAAAACTCGAGATGACATTTATACCTAATCTATATATATTCATGTTTCGTTATAATCATGGATATTTGAATCGGTTATCATAATATGTTTAAAATGACAGTACGATATCGCAACTTCCATTGGAGTGAGTGGAAGAAACACTGAATATCATTGGGGAGGGAGTGGAAACATTCGAATAAACTAAGCGACCGAGCCGAGAATGTCGCGCATTTTGTTTTAGAGCACTTAAAATCACATAGTCTCAGTCTCATCTTAATATCCACACATTTAAAAAAAAAATTTGGCCCCAAAATTTTTGCAACGACTCAGGGGGTTGGGTTTAAGGTCACTTTTTTGGGTCACCTTTTTTTTCTTTTTTTTTCATTAAAATAAAATGGGGGGGGGGGGTCATCAAAAATCACACACATACAAACGCCCCCCCCCCCCCCCGCTGCGTACCCGCCTGCGTATAACAAATCAATAAAAGTATCGTTGATTGTATGAGGTTGATCTCGCCTAATACAACATCCATATGTCCAAATATCAAAATACGTGATTTTTCGTGGCAAAGACAATTAAATGCTCCGTTTATGCATTGGTATAGTTCATACATCTTATAGGCCAAATAGTCTTTAAACATAAATTAAAGTTTTCACATATCATTATTTTAAATTAGTCTATTTTTACTTATGACCGCTATCCTTATCTGGCTATTTCGACACAATGTTTAATAACACAGTGCAAAGTTGCAATAGGTGGCGAAATACATCATGAGAATGACCTTTGCCCGATAACCTACATACTTTTCCGCTAGCATGACTACACAAGCAAGAGCACGTGTAATATATACCGTAGCAGTCATTTACAGTATTTTACTCCAATTACCATTGACCGTGGTTTAAGATCTACTTATATGACTCTACGTTTAGTACTGGTGCCAAGCTAGCAAATTGGCGAAGTATATAATGTCTTCCAAAATAATCATTGTCTTTGTTGTGTTAGCTACTGGCTTAACACTTCATATCGAGGAAGCTCACGGGGAAAATATTCTTATATCTCCAATATATGGCGAGGGTAGTCACTTCTTGGCAGCATCGGCTATAGGAGAAAGTCTTGTGAAGCGAGGTCATGAAGTCACGTTCCTTATTAGCAATGCCTATGCCCACCGTGCTAAGGATCCGAAGTATGCCAAATTTTCCTTTGAGATATTCAACCATTCATTGCCAGTGGAGACGGTGCATGAGATGATGAATTCCATCGGCCATGTGGCCTTTGAAGGAGCTAGTGACCAGTTCAACACGATGCTGAAACTGATGATGGAGATGACTGGGGAGAATTGTAAGATTATTATCACAGACCGAGTGCTCATGCGTAGGTTGGAGGCAATGGATGCCATGATCATGGATATTTCCTGGCCATGTGGTGTCTACATCAGAGCTGCTCTCCAGAAAGGCAGAGAAACCCCTAAAGATCTGAAGATGATCGCAAACTCTCCTACGACACTATGGAGCGGATTCGTGATGGCCGCAGGGTCTCCATTTGACTACGCCTATATGCCGGAAACAATGACGGGCTTCACGAACCGGATGAACTTCTTCCAGAGATTGAGCAACCTGGTCCAGTCTACCTTAATAAAAGCGAGTATAACTTCAACTATGCTATCTTCATTTCAAAAGATGGAAAAGGAAGTCGGCCTCCAGAACACTGTTGATCCATTTTATGGCTTTACAGATTTCGATTTGTATCTCAGTAATATTCACTTCGCCTCTGACTTTCCGGTGCCTATGGTACCAAATCTGATAGCGGTTGGAGGACTTACAACTAAACCAGCTGCCCACCTGGAGAAGGTAAGTAAAACATAAAACACATAATCTTGGGTTTTAATGGGGGCAATTGACTCCATTATCCGATATCAGTTATTTACAATCACCGAGACTGCAATGAACTTCGCAATTACCGAATTACTAGCTACCTGCTACACGGATCAGGATAGGGATACGGCCTCAAGATATTTCCAGGACCAAATTTACATTCCTCTCGATAATTCATACAATGATTAATTGGGTCTTAATTACCCAGGGTAGCCACATCAGTGTTGATGCTGGTTTTCCTGTGGTCCTGTTGTTGTTAGTACTCAATCAAAATCCAGGTACCCATTTTGTGAATGGAGACGGCAAATGTCAATTAGTGTCATATGGCGCAGACCATTACTTCCGTGGTGGGATTCGAACCTTAAAGGTACTAAGTCCCATTTGCAGGCCCAAAAAATGAAAAAGGTTAAATTCCAACGGCATTTGAAAGACAATACTTATTCAGAACTTCTCTAAAAATTTCAGGGCTAAAAAATGGCTTGTAGTGGGAAATAACGACCATTAGTTGCCGAATCGACTTAATGGATTGTATGTTTCTTTGTAAAATTGTGATTGCTTTTGTATATGCACGGTCATGCTGAAGAACAGCCATTGGCTGAAGTATGCCAAAGTGCTAAAATAAAATAAACAAACAAACAAACAAACTGAATTTGAGTTGGATGTATTCTGGATTACCTTTATTTTGTACGTTGAAATTCGAGAAGCTATTCAAGAAATAATGTGGTGTTTACGATTCATTGTAAAACGAAAAATGTGCTAGGTGATGACATCTGCCCCAATTTATAAATACATCATCATACCTCAAATTGATAACGGACATTATGGTTTGTCATATAATTGTACAAAGCTTGTAATCGGATTCTTCTCGTATATTTTGTTGCATTGAGGTTTCTAATCCTATCCTAGAGCTTTTATTGTTATGTTTTAATCAGGGTTTACTATTTAAACTTTCGGGATTCTTCTCCCCGTTCTCTTAACCACTTACTGCGATTTGAAATCAAAGAGTGAAATTTAAGAAAGGAAAACATTCTTAATCTTAGGTCATGTAGATTTAAACTTTTATGTGTTTAACTTGTGAAGTTCCACCACAACGAATAGTCATTCAGTGGCATAGCATGGGTGAAGCGCAGAACTTGTATTAAACAAAAATTCTATCTGGAAATGTTAATGTTGAAACTACGAAGTCCTTGAATTCCCTGAAAACTAGATATTGCCCACGATCGCGTAGAGATCAGGTAACAGGGTAAAGCTGGATTTATCACTCGTATCAATGCACAAGAAATAATAATATTGCTCAATCCATAACTTCGTGTAATGGAAGGGCCACTGGGACCCTTTCTCTCTCTCTCTCTCTCTCTCTTTTATAGACTGTGATCTCTGACATTAGGCTTTTAATCTATTTATAGATCTCTCTCTCTTTTATAGACTGTGATCTCTGACATTAGGCTTTTAATCTATTTATAGATGCCCTTAACAATCATGATACTGACTGTGAAAATCGTACACTTGGTATGGAGGCAAGGCAACTTCTTGTTATCAACGTTAATACTTTACCTATTATTGATAATCCAACTTCCATATTAGAAAACGGATTATTATTGTATATGACGTACGTCCTTGTTCATAGCAAAGTCCGTCTTGTCACCTGACCTAGAGCACACATGGAGAGGTATAGCTCATAAATATGATTTTAGGTTGAACTTGAGTGATTGTGTGTGTAGTTTAGTGACTGCAAATGCGAGAATAGTGTGTGGAAGTGATCGCAGGATACGCATTTTGTGTTTAACGAGAGATCGCAAGCCATTTATTTCCAAGTATATTGCAAAGTGTTTCTATTATATATTTTAGCCTATATTTGGCATGTACAGAGACCATTTCCGTGAAGCATGGCACATCTTTCTAGCAACATTATTCACTTCAGCTGTGTATTGCTGATTTTCATGAATATGCCTAGCAATATTTTCTCTTCTAAAATCTTAATTTCTGCGATATACGGTGAGGGAAGCCATTTCTTAGCAGGGGCGTCTCTGGGCGAAGGTCTTGCTCGGAAGGGCCATGACGTAACAATGCTAATCAGCAATGCCTACGAACATCGTCTCGAAGATCCCAGGTATGCCAATCTTTCTTTTGAAGTCTTCAAACACCCCGTACCTCCGGAAGAAGTCCGCGAAGCCTTCGCCTTCGCTAGCACCCTGGTGTTTAGAGACGACAATATTGAGTTCTTCAGTCTAATGAAAAACATGTCAAAGAGGACGGTGGATGACTGTGAAGCAGTTGTTACAGACAAGGAGCTAATGCTACGACTTGAGAAGAATGATGCCATCATTGTGGATATTACATGGCCCTGTGCTCGGTACATCCAAGTCGTTCTCGAAGAAAAGATGAAATCCCAACGGCACCGTACGATGATCAGTCTGTCCGCGACTAACCCGTGGAGTGGATACCTTAAACTTGGAGGTGCTCCTGTGAATTATGCTTACTTCCCTGAAATCTCAACCGGCTTCAACAACCGAATGACATTCAGTCAAAAGATACTCAACATCATTCAAACCAATCTAATCGCTGTCGTCGGTGAACAGTTAACGCCACCACTTTACAGAGAAATGGGGAAAAGGCTTGGGCTGAGACCTAATATTCATCCTATCTTTGATATGCAAGATTTTGATCTTCACCTACTTAACATTAACTTTGCCTCTGATTTTGTCACTCCTCTGTCGCCGAGCATAATTCCTGTTGGTGGTTTGACTGTGCGACCTCTTCAAACATTAAATGAGGTAATGTACCTAGTCCCGTCATCCGTTAGTTGTTTGTGTCACAAAAGAAGAATTGATTCATAATTGTTGTGTTTTAATAGGCTTTATTGTTTTCGAAAACGAAAAAGTGTGGGGGGGGGGGCAAAAGGCATTTTCGCCCCCCCCCCCCCCCCGAAAAAAAAAATCAGCAGTAAAGGAGTAAAACAAAATTGTGTATTTTTTAATAAACAATAAAATAAAAAATAATAAAACCTGAATTGAATCACATACAAATTATATTTCATTCAAAGAAAAGGAAAGTAAACATGAATTTAATTTCCAAAACATTCCAAATGCCCTTATATATTATATCAATGTAGGATTTTATAATAGCGATACGCGCATACGTGGAAGTATCGTGAGAGAATGAGAAAGCGTGTGTGTGTTTTATTATAAAGACATGAGCCCCTGAACACTGGCGTACGATTGGGGGGGGGGGGCTGCCCAAAAAAAAAAATTAATTCAAACGTGGTTTCTAATTCGATACCAGTGATTTACAAGTGTTGCTCAAATTACATGATTTTCCGGGATTTTTCTCATTTTGAGGGGTAAATTATACCATTTTATGCATGTTGGAAAATTACAAATTTCCATATTTATAGTCTGGCATAAAATATGATTATTTATAAGCCTTAGCGTCAGTGCCTGCAGAACGACGAGGCTCGGAAACCCAACCCCTCCTCACTTTGTTTGAAAAAATATGTTACAAAGGAAAAGACCCCCCCCCCCCGCCAATTAGTGCCACTATCACAAATAAGGTATCTAATTACGCTTATCTGACCGTAATCATATGCCTAAAAACCCTGAGCTTCCGGGGGCTCCGCCCCTGGACCCCACTGATCGTTAATACTCTACTTTGAAAAACGTTCCGCGGGGCCTGCATGTAAGATGTAAGAGTGGTGGTGATGCAGATTTTTTTTCTGCCCCTCCCAAACGTTCTTTCTCATTACGCCACTGCCCCTGGAATGTTTGCCCCCCCCCCATCCCAAATTGCTTGTGGCGCGCCTGGTATAGACTATAGAGAGTCTATCAATGGGTTTTCATTTGCGCGGATGACCATGTTGACTGCTCCTATTACATTCATTTTTGTTCTAGATTTGTAGTGTGCAAGGCGACTTCTAAATCTAAATCTGGATTAAAAATGAATACAAAAACTTGGAAATTAGTGTGGAAATTGTTCCTGTAGCTGCACAGTAAGATCCTTGAAAGAAGATTTTTTTTAAAGAAAGACGCCTCAAATCGTGGGGTCCAGCGTTGCTAAAAAAAAAAAAAAAAAACTTTTCTAAAGAGTTGAAGCCCAACAAATGGGTTCCACTTATCTTCCTGGCGCCGAATTGCAATAGGGAATGTTAGTGCTTAGTGCTCTTTTATGGATTTTATGGATTTTCAGACCGCAAATGCCTTCAAAGTGCATAGTTATTGCTCTTATTCTTATCTATGAAATTTATAGTACACTTTTAGAACCTAAAATTGCTATGAAGGTAATTTTAGACCCCGAAATGTGTGAAATTTAGCCAATACGATCATACCAATTTAGCTCCACTTTCATAAAAACACGGAGACCGTTAATTAATTATTTAATTGAAAATAACCGTACATGAGCCGGCTAATTGTGGGTAATATAAGCAACACGAAAATGCCAACAAAAAAGCCAACATCGGCATTGGCTGAAATACGACGTAAAAGGCGTTATTTCGTGTTTTTTCAACGGTTTTTTTCAAATTTGTCAAAGTATCTAATATTTGTGGTGGTACACAAGTATTAGATATCGTTATATTTCAGCCGTCCTTGAACCGATTTTGATCAAAGATGATTTTGTCGTTAAAATATTATGTTCTTTCAAATTTAACACTCAACTATCCCTTTAACATGAATCATTTTCCTTTTTCTATGAGAAGAAGTTCTTCAATTGTTCCCCTTTGTTCATAGTTCTGTAGAACATGGTGTAATTCACTCTGGATACCTACTTGGCTTGAATTACAATCCTACTAATCAGAAACTGGCTTACCCTCTCTTATATATACTCTGTCTATAACGGCAGATTGGGCCGGACGGAATTCTATAACTATAAGAATTGACAAAAGTGTACTTAACGCATACATCATTGTGTCCCATTCTTATTGACAGGAGCTGGAGGAATTTGTTCAGAGTTCTGGAGAACATGGCGTCATTGTCTTCACCCTGGGTACCTACCTGGCTTCCATTACAACGATCAGACCCGAGATAGTGACGATGTTTGCCGAGGCTTTCCGAAGGCTGCCACAGAAGGTCATCTGGCAGCTGAAGGAACTACCTGACTGGGAACTACCGTCGAATGTGAAGGCTATGCCCTGGCTACCTCAAAATGACCTCCTAGGTACAAAATACTCTCTCGTCTTATAGATAGATGCATTTGGAGATGTGCCTTTCTTTAAAAGTCCTCAATTACAATTTTAACAATGTGTTACTCGATAATGACTGAATATGCCAATACATTGTCTCTAGTAAAAACAGTTGCGATGGTAAAGCAAAATATGGTCCAACAAATGACTTAATGCCTGTAATTTATTTTATTACTACTCCCCTCCCCCCCCCCCCCCCCCCGGTCAAAACGTATCTCTTTTTTTTCTTCGCAAACGTGCCTAGCCTTTAGACAAGGCCTCATGTCTGATAATGATATTTATATCTGACGCCGAGCGACTAAAAAGAGACTAATTGCGAAAACCCGAGTGAAAACCACACGATCGCGCCCCACTAGATCTCTCTTCGTCGCCGGCTAGACTCATCTCAGCCACTGATTGTCGTGGAAAATAGCCCGAGTCACGAGACTTGTGAAAAGGCTAAAGCGTGCCTGGAAGTAATTTGTTGTTCAAGCTTGATGCATGCCGACTGTAAAACTCTTGATAAAGGATTCCTTGCGCAAAAGTATAGTATAGTGAGAGAATGAATTGAATGTATCAAATGAGATGCATTACAATTGCTTTTTGCAGAAACAAAGTCACACACACACACACACGCGCGCGCGCACAAATGTTCTTTGATGTTGGATATGTTTGATTAATTTTGTTAGTGATGTTATTTGGATCTCCAAATTCCAATTGTTTTATTCAAACTTCACATGTATAATTGGCGCAAGTCGATTTTTGCACTCTCTTAAAGAATGTCTCTTGTTCATCAAAGCGTGAACACATACCATACACAAATGATACCGAATGATTTGGGATGAAACGCTCTTTCATATATAATTCACTGTTCGTAGATGTTTAAAAATAATTAGCAATTTTCTAGGTGTAAACTTTTTTTTGACTGACACTGTATTTTGTACCCGTTGAAGGGTTGCTACGCTTTGTACCCGTTGAAGGGTTGCTACGCTTTGCGTTGAATCGTTCATTCGCCCTTCATTTCAGGTCATCCCAAGACTCGAGCCTTCATGTACCAGGGAGGCAACAACGGTTTCCAGGAGGCCTGCTATCATGGGGTGCCTATCGTGGTCATTCCTCTTCAAGGAGACCAGTACGACGTCGCAGCCAGGATCGAGGCACGGGGACTGGGAAAAAAGATTGAAAAACTCGAGCTCAACGCAGAGATCATTTATGAAACTCTTACAGAGGTCATCAAAAATCCAAGGTCAGCTAATGAAGGACAAAACATCGAAGCGTAAAATGTTTCAATAAGAAAAAAAAACTATGATATTACTGCAAAATGTTTTTAAAGATACTATGTCCCTTTTGCAGCCAACGTCAAATTCTGTAGAACTTTACAGGACAAGTATGTCCTATCTGTGAAATTTAATCATTAGCAGTGTCCTAATAACCAAATTATGCAAGGAAACCCGTTTACTTGCTAGACTTCACTGTCAGACACTATTGAGTGACTGACAGACATCTTTTTTCTTTGGTAATAACATACATAAAATGAGCTGTAACAGGTACATGAGCATTTGTCTACATCAATGACCCATTGCTTGTAATGACCAAAATTAAACTGATTGAATCTTTTTGCAGCAAAAAACGTACGACATTACTTAGGTGACTGCAATCACTTAAGTCGTTTCGACAACTAATGGTCGTAATTTTCCCACTAAAAGCCATTTTCCAGCCCTTTCCTTTAAAGGGAAGTTCTAAATTAGTATTGTCTTTCAAATGCCGTTGGAATCTAACCTTTACATTTTTGGGGCCTGCAAATGGGACATAGTACCTTTAAAGCAGTCGTTCATCAATCACAATCCAGAACTTCTTTGCTTAAATATCTGTTGGTACAATCATGTAATGCAATCAAAGTAATGACAATGCCAAGCCGATGATACGTGTTTCTGCATACAAATAGCGTAGCTATACCATGAGAGGGAGAATGTTCCTCACCTTAACAGATTTGTTGGCATTCCAGGATCTCCGTCGTCACATTCAATTTTCTGCTATTTCTGAATGAGCATTGAGCATGTTTTGTGTGTAGTATTTAGAAACCGTGATAACAACGTCTGTAATCTTTCCAAATCTCGCAGATAATTAATTTCGAATTTCTGTATTTTCTGCTTTCCTTTTGTTTTTAACAGTTATAAGAAGGTAGCAGACCAAGTGTCCGCCATTTACAAGGACCAACCAATGAGCGCACCCGACCGAGCTGCCTTCTGGATAGAACACGTCATCAAATTTGGTGGGGCTTACATGCGATCTCCAGCCAATGACCTCACTTTCATTCAATATCATCTTTTAGATGTCTATGCATTCCTCACTGCAGTAATTGTAATATTTTTAGCAGTAGTCTATTATACTCTTAAGTTTTGTTTGACTCGGTGTTGTCGCATGATCGGGCTTGGAAGCAGCCGAAAATCAAAGACTGAATAACAGTGGCACATTTGATAAAATTAAAACTAATTTGATTTTCTTTAACATTGTTTAGCAATCATTACTGAAAGCCTTCCAACTACAAAGAACACTGCAAAATTAATGGAAATTAGTAAAAAAAAAAAAAAAAAAAAAAATTATGTTTCATTTTTATCATCCTTTTGCGATGCACAAGTTGGGCGAATGAAGGTCCGACCCTTATATTCGACCCTTGTTCATGTTCCGTCACTATTTTGTTCCGATACAAAAATGGAATACATGTAGATCATGTACAGTACATCAGTAGAGATATATGACTAAAAGACAAGCTAAGTACTTGCAATACTAATTCGACCCTTCATGTAGATTTATAAACATTTCTTAAGTTATGAAAGGTGTTGTAACTATACTAAAAAGAAGGATCGAAACAGACTCAAGTCGGTACATATATGACCCTCGTCCTAATAAATAAACTTGTTGGCCATCGAACCACAAAATGAATGTTTCACATTTTATACTTACAGTGATATTTGCCAGATATGAGAGTTTTAGTTCAAAAATGTAATTCTATGTAAAATAAAGACTTCTTAGACGGACTTTTAATCCTACCTTAATTTGTTTTAAGTATAGAAAATTAACCTAAATCACATTTAAAAAATATATATTACGTACTAATTTGATATTCACATTGGTGTGTAAATTTGTTAAAATTATGCCTATCCAGTTTCCAACAGTTTAACTCAACATACGAATATTTTTTAAGCATAATATCAGTATACTAATTATAGGATATGTATATATATATTAAATCCACAAAATACGCAATAAACTAAACTCATCATAGATATTTGTAATGATAATACATAAAAGGGTATCGCGAATGTTTTTCATATTCTATAATGTTGCCTAATGAAATGTGCATATATATTTTCAAAGATTCTTCATTTGTATATGTGATTGACAGAACATTCTCTCGATATGAAATCGCCATTAATGTTTCATAATTTGACAGTATTGTAAGAACTATATTGCAGGCCTGATAAAAACCCGATTTAAATCGGTTTCCCGATTTTTTTTTTTTCTTCCCGTTTAAAAAAAAAAAAAAAAAAAAAAAAAATCCAGATTTTTTTTTTTTTTTTTTTTTTTACCAATTTTTTTTTCTTTCCTATTTTATCCTGATTTCCCGATTTCCCTCTTATTTTCTCTATTCTTCCCTATTTTGCTCTATTGTTTTCCTAATTTTTTCCCAATTTTCTTACTCGAAAGGGGGGAATGTTGTTAGATGCCGTTTTTTCCCCGCGAATCCTCTTTTTTTTCACTCAAGGGGGGGGGGGGGGGGCGTGGTTGACGGGAAAACAAAAAACCTATTTTTTTTTAGTGCTCACTATCACCCCTGCTATATTGTCTATCTTATGTCTTTTCAAGATGAAGAGAGGCATGGTGTGTCAATGTAACAATGATTTTGAAGTGCAACATAAAGAACTATATTTACAGATAGGGTAATGGCTGATTTTTAACATTGTTTACTTTGTCAGATGTTAGGGGCAATAAACATTGGCGAAGTTCCAGGGGGCATGATACACGTGCGCTCATCATTACAAATTAAATAAAAGAGAGAAAATGAAAGGGGAAAAAAAGGGGGGGGGGATAATATGACAGTAAGATACTACGACTTCTTTAACATCCTCCCTCATCGTAATGATCTTGTTAGTTTGCATTTTATCCATCGAGTAATGCCAGTGCACCCCCCTCCTACCCATGATGCAGGTGAACCCGCAATATATGGACCCACGCTACTTCATTCACGATACAGCTGAACATGACGATGGGGATGGTGGTGGTACTGATGGTGATGATAATAGTGGTGGTAATGATTATGATGGTGGTTGTGGTAATGATGACGTTTATGATGATGATGGTGGTGAGATTGGCAATCGTGATGATGGCAGTGGTAATGATGATGATGATGTTGGTGGTGGCAATGATGATGATGATGATGATGATGATAATGGTGATAATGGCGGTGGTAATGATGCTGATGTTGACGATGGTGGTGGTAATGATGATGATGGTGGTGGTGGTAATGATGATAATAATGTTGATGGTGATAATGATGATGATTTATTTCACTTATTTATTTATTTATTTTAGATATTTATACAGGGTGGCACATATCACCAATTTGGGGGTCTTCAATGAGACCCTGTGTGGTAAGAGTAAAACAAATAATAGCAGCAAAACCAAAATAAATAGATACACAAGCATGTAAACAGTTATAATACAAATTAATTGGTGTCCCCATGAAATAACTGATCATTCAAGAATTATCTTTGATCATTTAAAAGAAATATGTGAATGGATTTTCAATTTCAATAGAAAATACATTTAAACATGAAAATAGAATAGAATAAAATGAAAATGAAATAAAGAATAGATGATAACATTCATTTTAAAGAAAGAAAAAAAGGATTGAAAACGTACATTATTATAAACATATTTACATTCAATTGCTCTTAATTAATGATGATGATGGTGGTGGTGGCAGTGGTAATGAAGATGAAGATAGAGGTGGTAATGACGTTGATGGTGGTAGTGGTATTGTCGATGATGGGGCTGTGATGACGATGATGGTGGTAGTATTGACGATGAGGATGATGATGTTGGTGGTTTTTATTAACTATGGAAAAGGTGATGACGATGACGAATATGGAACGTTACCTAGCCTGGATATTAGTAAGATTAGCTGATGATACAGTAATAATTCCCACAATGATAAAGATGATGATGATGATGATACAAATTTGAAGAAGTAGAAGAAGAATGATTTTTTTTTCTTCATCAAAGCGCAGTTGAGTATATTTTTACAGTAGATGCTGTATATAAATTTATCTTTTATCAATTATTATAATAAGAGGCCAGCCCTTATCCATATGGAGAGGGGTGAAATCCAATATAACATTTTATTTCATGTATTTTCTTCGATTTATTGCACATAAGAAAAAGGATGGCCTATTCAATGAAAGTTAATTCTTTACAATACTATGCAGCGTATCAATGCTTTTTTCAATAACCACTAAATACTATTACAACTAGCCTATGTACTTGGACCTAACAAATACATTGCCTTTCTCTCCAAAACATTGTTGTGCAAATTGGTTGAAGCACTTTCATCGTACATTTTAAATAAGACATTCAAGCAAACTATAATTTGGACGTACAAACAAGAACGATCCGCAAGATCACATTCTAAGACGAATTGATTACCTATGTGTTTCTATGATCTTTACATCTATGCCTGATTGAGATTCTCCGTCTAATATCCTAATTGATGTGATATACGGGGAGGGGAGCCATTTCTTATCTACGGCAACTATTGGGAACGTTCTAACAAGGAGGGGACGATGAAGTGGCCATGCTGATTAGCAACGCTTGAAAAAACAACGTGTAAAGGATCCAAGGTAGTCCAATCTGTCTTTTGTGGTCTTCCAGCATCCCGGTAGTGAGCACAATTTTTGGGGGGTCCTCGAAAATTTGAAAAATCGTACCCCCCCCCCCCTTGAGCGCCAGGGAGGGGGGGGGGGGCATCTAAAAAAAAGGTAAAATTAACGTTTTTTTCTCAGGGGGCCCGGGCCCCCGCCCCCTGGATCCGCCACTGGTCTAAGCAAATGGTTGACGACTGTGAAGCAGTCACCACAGACAAGGAGCTAATGCTTCGAATTGAGTCATAATTAATGAAGCCTATTGTTGAATATGCGTGGCCATTTTCTCCCTGCTTACACCAAAGCTATTTTGGAAGAAACAATGAAGTCGCCACGACATCGTACCATGATCGAGTTATCACTATCAACTGTGTGGGGGAATATTGCTTCAATTGGCAGGCTCACCAATGAACTATGCCTACCCACCTGAAATCATCAGCGGTTTTTCGAATAATAATAATAAATAATATGGATATGTGTAAAGCGCCGGTATCCGCCAGGCTCTGACACTCATGGCGCTTTACACATATTACCCTGGTCATAGCCGAGCTGCCAAAGTAACTAGCGCTCAAACACACCAGGTACCCATTTACACCTGGGTCGAGAGTGGCACATGTAGATTTACGTTTTGCCAAAGGTCATTAGTGCCGCGGCGGGATTTTGTGATCTGCAGTCGGGTGACTTATCCACTAGACCTACAACGCCTCTACACCTCCACACCTCGAACCGCATTACTTTTACTGAAAGGTCGATGAATGTAATTCAGTCAATTTTCATTTCTTTTACCGGGGACATTACCACATTCTAGCTGTATAGAGAGATGGGGAAAAGCCCTGGGGCTGAAACCGAACATTCATTCTCTATATGACATGAAAAATTTGGATCTTTTGCTAATCCATCACCTTGCGTAGGATTTCCCCGATTCCTTTGTCACCTAATGTAATCCCATTTGGAGGTTTAACTATTCAGCCTGTTGAAGTATTGAACGATGTCAGAATAGTGTATTTTCATGTTGCAATATACATGTAATATTTTAGGGGCAAGAGAAGGGAGGAATTAGCATTTTAAGTGAGCTGTGGTTTACTATCTCAAACGTCTACAAACGTTTTCCGCAACCATATTGATTGAATTATTACATTTGCACAGGGAATTGTATAATATGATGTTTTGCAGTTATCCAAAATATAGGATAGAGGAAGTTGAATTCATAAGCGTATAACTTGTTAATAAAGGGTGTCATTCACTTCTAGCAGTACTGCTATTTATGGAGGTGACCTTTTTCCAATAATGTGAATTAAAATCAGCATGGATTGTATCAATATCAAATTTTCGTTATAAAGTTTCTATTAATTCAGATCAGTCAGGAAGTCACTCATAAACCTTCCCACGTCATATAAATATACGATAAATGAATAGACCGCTTCACTATTTGAACATGAGATGATAGTTACCTAAGTTCTTTGAGGGGGAGGGGTCGCAGCCTCTAGCACGACAGATTATGATTACTTCACTGAGGCGGAGCTTAATTGTTTCTATTTTCTATTTTCATTGAGAAATTTGTTCAGAGTTATGGAGAAAATGGCGTTATTGTCTTCACCATGGGTACCTACCTGGCTTCCATTACAACGATCAGACCCGAGATAGTGACGATGTTTGTCGAGGCTTTCCGAAGGTTGAATTTTTTTTTCTTTCCTATTTTATCCTGATTTCCCGATTTCCCTCTTATTTTCTCTATTCTTCCCTATTTTGCTCTATTGTTTTCCTAATTTTTTCCCAATTTTCTTACTCGAAAGGGGGGAATGTTGTTAGATGCCGTTTTTTCCCCGCGAATCCTCTTTTTTTTTTTTACTCAACGGGGGGGGGGGGGGGGGGGGGGGGGGGGCGTGGTTGACGGGAAAACAAAAAACCTATTTTTTTTAGTGCTCACTATCACCCCTGCTATATTGTCTATCTTATGTCTTTTCAAGATGAAGAGAGGCATGGTGTGTCAATGTAACAATGATTTTGAAGTGCAACATAAAGAACTATATTTACAGATAGGGTAATGGCTGATTTTTAACATTGTTTACTTTGTCAGATGTTAGGGGCAATAAACATTGGCGAAGTTCCAGGGGGCATGATACACGTGCGCTCATCATTACAAATTAAATAAAAGAGAGAAAATGAAAGGGAAAAAAAAAGGGGGGGGGGATAATATGACAGTAAGATACTACGACTTCTTTAACATCCTCCCTCATCGTAATGATCTTGTTAGTTTGCATTTTATCCATCGAGTAATGCCAGTGCACCCCCCTCCTACCCATGATGCAGGTGAACCCGCAATATATGGACCCACGCTACTTCATTCACGATACAGCTGAACATGACGATGGGGATGGTGGTGGTACTGATGGTGATGATAATAGTGGTGGTAATGATTATGATGGTGGTTGTGGTAATGATGACGTTTATGATGATGATGGTGGTGAGATTGGCAATCGTGATGATGGCAGTGGTAATGATGATGATGATGTTGGTGGTGGCAATGATGATGAT